CCCTAACCCAAAACGCTAAACCCAAAGCCTTGAACCCAAAACTCTAAACCCAAAACCCTGAACTCTAAACCCTAACCCAAAACCCTAAACCCAAAGCCTTGAAACCAAAACTCTAAACCCTGACCCAAAACCCTGAACTCTAAACCCTATCCCAAAACCCTAAACCCAAAGCCTTGAACCCAAAACTCTAAACCCTAAACCCTCGAGGTATGGAGACTCTGGGGTTTAGTCTGTTACTTTGGCATCGGAAAGCCTTGCGACCGGATACAGCGTTTAGGGGTTTAGGGTTTAGGGGTTTGGGGTTTGGAGTTTGGGGTTTAGGGGTTTAGGGTTTAGGGTGTAGAGTTTAGGGTTTAGGGAATACTGTTCAGCATTTTGCGGATCGATTTGTGTCTAGTTTGATCATTGTATGGTCAAGTCATGGCTGCAAAGCCCTTGCACCCAACTCTAAGCCCCAAATTCCTTGAGCCCGACCAAAGCCTCGTAGAAATGGTGGTGTTTGCACTGGGGCCGGAGGGACGCGTCATGTACACAAGGGTGCTTTGCACGGGTGTCCTCCTCCTCCTGCTCCTCCTCCTCCTTGTCCAACACTTCCTCCTCCACCCGAAACCTTCAGCCCCGAACCAAAATCTTTCTTCTCCACAAGAAAGCCCACAGCTCCAAACCAAAGTCCTTCAACAAGCGTGAACCCGACACTCGGTCATCACTCATCACGTTCCTGTTTTTCCGTCCGATGGAGGATGAGCCAGCTGACGGTGAGGATATCGATGCAGCATTGCTGGAGGAGAAATCGTGCAAAGCCGAGTCGAACCATGGTATATAAGACCTTGTAACCTTCATATACCACCCTTGCAAGCTTGAGTCTTGATGCTTTTCCTCGCAGCCTAGCTTCAGACCGGCTCCCCGACGGCTACGGATTTCCTGGTTGTTCTATGCGGGGTTTAGGGCTTAAGGGTTAGGGTAAAAGGTTGAGGCCCGCAGACCTATGTACCGTAAACCCGGACACCCTAACACCCTGCATAAAGCCAGTCAACCCCAAACCCTAAACCGTGACTAGAGCTCGAGCTTTGTCAGGAGCTGTCCGACTCCAACAACATCCGCGCCCTCAGCATCTCGGTGGCGATGACTTCGGCACGGGCTTCGTTAGTACATAATGCTCAGGGTTCCTTTGATGTTACTGCAAGCTTCTATAATCGGGTTTCCTGTCAATTTTCTGTAAAAGACCTATAGGCATTAAAGCATCATGGGACTCAGTATTTGGGCTTAATAGTAGGGGAAATGCACTTATGATGACTTATGGTCCGTTCCAATTAAGATACATACAACTTACAACTTTACTTACTAAGTCCTGTGATCCTCCAAGACAACGATATCCCCAGGGCAAACGACCCAATAATTAGGTACTTGGGTTTCGGATAGTACAGGTAGTTAAGCAGGCTAGTATTTGAGAGGGCATCTGACTGTCAGGTACTTGGACCTTAAACCCTTATCCCCTAGGGTAAGAGACCCCGAAAGTTTATTCTAATCGCAACTCCGAGCATCGGTTTGGGATTAGGGCTTCTGCTATTTAGGCACTACACCTACCTTTAATCAAGGGGTCGTGAGCCACTTCTCTGTAGGATTTTAGGCTAAACGGAACAGCTCTTCAAGAAGCACCTCTTAAAGGGTCCTTTCTATGTATCTGTATATATATATAGCAGAATGTAGCGTTTCCATAATAGGAATGACTTTTATGATTTAGGGAAGTATCCCCCATAACAGTACATAGGACCTTTTGGGCCTGCCAGGAGTAGACCGGCAGGAACTTGGGAGATCCCTGTGCTCTCGTCAGTGAGGTCCGAATCCCAAAGGCTCCATGTCCGTGTACCCTGTACCCATATATTCTAAACTTACATCTATTACCCTATAAGGGTCCAAGTACCTAATAATCAGATACGCTCCCAAACGATGATTATACTAAGCCAAGTGCCTTATTATTGGGTCCTTTGGACCCTTGTGGCCCTCAAGTGCCTGGATAAACCCTAAACTCTAAACCCTAAACCCTAAATAGGGACCCCTTTACGGCCGAAGTCTGTGCTGTGTAGGCGCGTAGAGCCTTAGGGAAGTTGGGATAACTTAGGGTTTAGGGTTTAGGGTTTAAGCCTGGTGAGGTGTTGGCTTTGTGCGTTCCATGCTTTTGGGTAATGCAAGTGTCGGGATACTTAGTTCTCCGATACCCGACCTTTAAACTTTTGGGTTTCTTATACCTTAGTAGTAATCTGAAAGTTTAACCTTCTATTTCCCTGGCTTATTGGAGGAGCACGGATATTTACCAATACCACGTTTATCGTCCCTAATGTGGCTACAGCACATGAAGGCCCCCTATATCGCACCTTTGGGCTCCGGGCTTTTTTGTAAGTTCCTAGTATGAGCCCAATATACAATTTATGTGAGGGGACCCGGCAACAAACACGGTTTTGGTACGCTTACTTAAGGAATCATGAGACTTAGTAACTACGGTTATTATCAGGGGAACTATACTTTCATTTACTTATAACCCCAATTAATAAAGGTACTTACAACCACACTTATTTTGTCCCATGATTAGGCTATTCGACTTAGTTTCCCAATACCCAACCTTTAAACTGTATTCGTTCTTATAGTTTAGTAGTAATCTGGAAGTTTAACCTTCTATTTCCCTGGCTTGTTGCCCTTGGCGTCAAAACAGCCCAAAAGCCATATATATATATATATATAAACAAATAAATAAATATATATATATATATACATATATATATATATATATATAATAGGGTCTTTGGGCCCAAAAGCCTGAAACAATATGAGTCGTTTGAGAGGGTTGGGGAAGTAAGTTAAGGGGCTCTAGTGTTTCCAGATCCAGCCTTGGAGGCGGAAGGACATGGAGATTTGCGGGTCTTGTCCAGGTTTCGGGTTTAGGGTAGCATAGGAGCCTAAATAATTCCTAATACTATTTTTGGGTGGTTCCTTCCCTATAAAGGACCCCAAAGCCCTTTTCTAATTATTAGGGCCCCTGAATTAGGGTTTTGGATTTCGGGTTTGGGGCTTAGGTTCAGGGACCCGGAGATTCCATGCCATGTCCTCATATAGTATTCACTTTGGCCACCTATGTTAAGGTTTTGGGTTTGGGGTTTAGTGTTTAGGGTTTAGGGTTTAAGGGTTTTGGGTTTCGGGTTTAGGGTGTACTTGTTTTGGGATGAACTTCATGCCTAAGTATATAATACAGACACGTATTTTACCCGCAAGGGTCCACGTACCCAAATACTATATACTTTGGCCTTACAGTGGTCCCTATATATAGGTACTTTGGGGCCACAGTATCTAGTATTTGGGTACATGGACCCATAGGGTTCTATACGGGTGCATGGAAACTTTTGGGGGCGAATCCGAAAGTATAGGCTGCTTACAGCCTTGGTATGCGCTGCTAAGACCCGTATACGCCAAAACCCTAAACCCTTAAGACATCCTACAAACGTTAGGTTTAGGGTTTAGGGTTTAGAGTTCTAGCGTTTAGGAACCATTAAGTTAGGTTTAGGGTTTAGAGTTCTAGCGTTTAGGATGCGTTAAGTTAGGTTTAGGGTTTAGAGTTCTAGCGTTTAGGATCCATTAAGTTAGGTTTAGGGTTTAGAGTTCCAGCGTTTAGGATCCTAGGGGTTTACGATTTAGGTTTCCGGGTTTAGTATTAACGCCTTGATCCTGGACCCTAAAACTCTAAAACCCGAAGCCCTACACCGACAGGTCCGAAGAAGCTCGGGGCTTGCGACTTCAAGCACACCTGCCAGGGCCTCAGACTTCGAAAGCCCTCACGACTCCAGAAGAGGGTTTAGGCCCTAAGCCCTAAACCCTAAACCCTTTAGGGTTTTTTGGTTTAAGGTTTTAGGGTTTAGGGGTTTAGGTTTTTTTTGGTTTAGGGTTTAGGCTTTTAGACGAGGGCCTCCTTAAGGACTCCTTCAAGGAGGGTCCTGTATCAAGGGAGGGTTCTAGGGGTTGCAGGGATCTGGCTCAAGGCGTCTATGGCTTTGAGACGAAGATAGGGGGGCCTTAATAACTTGAATAGGGTTCCTTTAATAAAGGGCTCCTCAAAAGGGATACTATAAGGGCTATAGGGGTTCTATAGTATAGGGGCCTTGATAATTAGAATCGGGTTTTGAGGTATAATATACTGTAATTACAAATAAGGAACCACCAAACCCCTAAACCCCTAAACCCTAAACCCTAAACCCTAAACCCGAAACCCTAAACCCTTAAAACCCTATTCTAAGTATTCAGCCCCCCACATTGCAGTGACTCTAAGGCCCAAAGGCTCTTAGGACTTATGTTTTCAGGGTTTATAGGGCCTAACTACTTAACTATCTAGTCACATGCCCGTATGTTTTGAGGTTTGGGGGCCCAACTACTTAACTAGAGTCTGTTAAATATTCAAAATCTACGCTGGGGGTTGTTGTTTTGCCTGGTGATTGCTGGAAGCTTTGCATAGGCGCAGGGTTGCATAATGGGCGTTTCTGCGAACATGTCTACAACATAGTATTCCATTTGCAAGGCAACCACGTGCCATGCATTGTTACCAAAACACGACCCGTGTTTAGCACCCAGCCCCTGCACCCCCAAAGCTCTAAAAGGTAGACCGCTAAACCCCTAAATGCTGGCCATACACGGCCCGTCTAAACATCGATACAACCAGGAAGCGCACCGTCCAAGCACCACAACAGCCCCTGTACAAGCCCGTCCGGGTGATGCTTTAGTGTTCTTAGCAATGTCTTCGTTATAACGACACTCCAAGGGGCCATAAACATATAGAGACGTACTATGGTTATTATCATGGTCCTCAAGGCGATTAAGCATGGACCTGCGTTACGTGAACTCCAGCGAACTACCCTAGACTACCGGAGGAAGTATGAGTTCATGTACATTCCTTACTACGCATAATACTGCAAAATCCCACAAAGTGGTGTGAAGATGCAGTAAACCTTCACCAAGCTCTATGAAACCAAATAAACCCCTTGAGAACCCGATAGTGCAACCCTGTCCCTCAGGTGGCACCATCTCGGGTTCCGGCAAGTTCGTCTCTTGCAAGGGGCAAACTGGCCGCTTCCTTGTCATCAAGAAGACAGGTCCGGGGACTTGAAATAGAAGCCTGAATACATGGTAAAACAATGTAATGTAGTACCATTCGGTAGGGTTACTCAGTATATTTATCTAAGTACAGGATACTAGAAAACTCTTTGGGATGCTATTTCAGGGGTTTGGAGGCTACGGATCTAGAGTTTAGGCTTCCACACTGGGATCTTGTTCAGGAGCTGAATCTAAGTTCCAGTTACATAAGGAGAGCACCTTGTTTGAAATGTTTCCGTTATACGGCTGATGATATAAATCCTGCATTGCCCATAATAGGGAATATACCATAGCTCCCATGGTTTAGGGTCCTTAAGGTAATGCAGGATTTATAATATCATCAACAGTATAGTAGGTGAAGCTTCCTCACAGAGAAGCAGGTGCAGTGTTCAAGGATGAAAGCACAGGGGTCTTTGGTCTAAACCTCAAACCCTAAACCCTGGATCCTAATCCCAATGAGATGAGCGAATTAATCTTGTAGGGCTTAAGCATGGAGGGGGGGCACATTGTATTAAGAGTGTCGGGTTTGTGGTTTGGCGTTGAGTCATATGCGTCATATGTGTTTTATGAGGTGCTGCGGATTGGTGCAGAAGTGTAAGGTGTTACCTTTTCATACCTTCCGCATCTGGCAGGATAAGCTTAATCACCTCCAGCTGTCACTCGGAACCTTGCAGTAGAAGCAAGAAAGCCGGATAATAGGAATTCCCTGGCCTTATAGCTTCGTACAGCAGGGAAAGGAATGTAATACATTTGTTTTCTGCGCTCCGGCATTGTGGCTTCTATTGCCTATGCTCCACATTTCAAGCCCCACGCGCTTCTAGTTTTGTTGGGCCCCTTCTCGCCTGATCGTTCCGGACGTAAGCTATTAGAATCTTCCCCCTCAAAAAGGGTTGCATACTATGGTCTCTAGGCCCGAAAAGCCCAGAATCATGCATCCCCGGAGCCTTCGGCTGAAGGTTCAAGACCCAAATTTCCTAAGTACCTACATATGGGGGATGCTTACCCGAACCACACTAGCGGCTCCTATCCCCTTTTCTAGAAGCCCTACTTTCTACAACTGTTGACACTTAGGAGCCTATAGGAGAAAAGAGGTCGGAGGATGCAGGGTTTGGGTGTTATGGGTTTAGGGAAACCCTAAACCGTAAACCCCTGACTTCTATAGGGCAGACTCCTGATCCATAAGCCGGGTTTTGTGTTTAGGGCACTTAGGGTTTAGGGTTTAGGGTTTAAGGGCTTAGGGTGTTGAGCTGCAGGTTTACGGTTGTTGGCTTTGGGCTCAGGGTATTGAGTTTAGGGCTGTTTAGGGTTCGGGTTTTACGTTTTAGGGTCTGTGTCGGCTTTAGGTGGTTGTGAGTCTAGAAGTTCATTTTGATAGTTCGTCATGTAGGGTTGAGGGGTACCTCTTGCTTTGAATCCAAGTCCGTGCAGGTGCTAGCCAAACACTCACCGTGGGCGAGGTGGAGGTGTGGGAGGAGCGAGATGTGTTTTGCGGATGCTACAAACTGCGATAGCTCCACCCTAAACCCTAAACCCGAACCACAGTGCTACAGGAAGCCAGGCAAGCCGTCCTGCTTTAAACCTCCGGCACTTCAAGATCTAGGGTCCGCCTATGTAGAGTGTAGGGTTTAGGGGTTTAGGGCTTAGGGAATCGGAGTTTAGGGTTTTGGAGTTTAGCGTTTAGGGGACCCTATTTGGACTTGGACTATTCGGCAACCCCCTGGTTGCGGGACAATCCTCTAATCACAGTATGGATGGAACCCGCGAGTCCTGAGCAATGCCGGGTTACTCAGGATTCAGACGGATAGTCCTTAGCTGACATAGAGGATCTGCTTTCACTGTACTTTAGCCAAAAGCCTTGTGAAAACCTTATCAAGCCGTCCCCGGGCAACGAGGATGCCGTCTTGTCCCGGACAGCCGCTGTGGCTACGATGTCTGTCGCCAAGAAGGCACTTGCTCTAACAAGACTTGAAGAACTTAAGCACTTAGGGTCTGTAGGGGTTCATGGTTGACGGGTTTTGGTGTTCATGCAGAGATCTCAAGGTTTGAGTTTAGGGCTTTAGGGGTTTAGGGGTTTAGGCGCTCGGGGTTCCAGGGTTCAAGAGTTTAGAATCAGAGGTCTAGGCCTGCTTTAGGTCTGGGCTGCCGGGTTTATCTGTCAAACAGTCGTAACCTTCCAAGATCCGAAGATCATAAGCCCAAAGATGCAAAGCCGAACCGTGGTTTCGGGTTTAGGGTCTAGGGGCCCAAAGATGCAAAGCCAAAACCTAAGTCGTACTGCAATTGAATTCTCTTGCCAATCCCTAAATCCCTGCAAGTGTCCTCTGATGGAGGGTATTGGTGTCCACCTAAAATCAGGACAAACATTGGTTTACATGATTCGGTAACTCCCGGACACAGCCTGGCCAGTTCCTGCAATTGATGTTCGTCCTGTCATCAAGCAACAGCATACAGATGACTTAACTGTATGCGAATCTTGCAAAAGCACAGTCCTGCACCGTTAACTGCTTTGTAGCTTCGCCCGTACCAACAGAAGCTATGACCCTAATTAGAGTTATTTTTCAAAGACCGATGGCCTGAAACCCGTATCGATAAAGCCACCTAGATTGACATTGTGACACCAGAAGCCCACTTACCTGGATAGTAGGTTGCCGCTCTCTCAAAACTATACACACATTGCAGTGCCCATGGTCCGGTAAGCTATCCAGTGTTTTGGAGAGTGATGCCTGGGTTCTTGTTAAGGAAGCTAGCTCAAGCTGCCATCATGAGGGAACCCTCTTATTTACGGTAGCTCCCCATCATGGTAGCTTAAGTTAAAACATTCCTCAATGAGAGCGCCCAGATGCTATCCTGCTCAGGGCGAAAGCAATGGACCGGACCGAATCTTGGACGATGCGTGGCAACCTCAGACGCAGAACTCGTCAGCTGGCTCGTGGCTCGTGGCGCTTGAGGATGTTCGGCTCCAGTGGGTTTCTGGTAGTCTGCATTGTAGATCCGTGTTTATTTGCGCACTTTCAAGATGGCTCGGATCCCAAATAGGAATAACACAAGTCAACCAACCGCCGCCACCACCACCACCACCACCACGACCATCACGACCCCCGCTATTATCATCTCATCACCAGTCTTATCATCAGCACCGGAATCTGGGCTCTAGTTCAGGAATGTTTTATCTTAAGCTACCATGATGAGGAGCTACGGTAAATAAGAGGATACTGAAGCCTGAAGCCTCAGCCACTTGCCAGGGACAACACGGCAACGATTTCGCAGGCACCCCTCTACGCCTTCGGTAGCCGACGGTTCGTTCGGCGTAGACGCAGTTTCCCAGAGACTCCAAAACCCTTAGTTAAGGAATTCGCATAAGGTAAAATTCCTTAGTTAATGGAGTCTCTGGGCTAGTACTTGGGATTCAAGGGTCGGGGTTGAGGGGCTTGAGGTTTAGGGCACACTCTCTGCAAGGATGTTCTAGATGTGCGATGAGTTCTTATCTGGGAGTGCTTGGGAATTTGGAGGGTTCTGCACATCTAGGCTTATGCTTTCTAGAGCGGGCTAACGGGCGCTGGGGCCAGAAGAATGGCTCTGCAGGCATTGTCTGTGAGCCCTTAAGCCGTTCACTTCGAAGCAGTTGCGGTTTTGGCTTGCCCCAAGTCCCTAAACCCTCAACCCCAAAACCCTAAACCCCAAAACCATCCACAACCCCAAAGCCCTAAGGCCTAAACCCTAAACCCATCTAGGGCTTAGTGTCCTAGGATTCTTCAACCCGTAAACCCTTCCTGTGGATCCTTTGCGTAACCCAACAGACCTACGTACGACTTTTATCATATATTTATATATTTTAATTCCCATAGTTTAGTGTCCGCCTTAAGGTAATGCAGGTTTTATACCATCAACAGTATGAGGTCAGGTTAACCCTAAACCATCCTGTCCTAATCAGCCCAAGCTTAGGGGTCAACGTGTGGAACTCCCGCAAACCACAATCTTCCGGAGGCTCCGAGCACCCAGGGCCAACGTATATACTATTTGGGCACATGGACCCTTAGGGAAAGGGTTTAGGGTTCAGTTTGGTTTAGAGCTTGTAGGGTTTAGGGTGTCTAGGTCTAGGACTTTTTCAAGATAGGAGCCTTATAGACGGTCTGTATACCTTATAGAAGCCTTATAGAAGCCCTATATACCCTAAACTCCCCACATGTTTCTTGAGCTTGTACGTCCTATAAGGTAACCCCAAAAAGGAACTACTATGGGGCCTATGGGTAGGAGGTCAAACCCTAATATTCGGGTACTTGGGGACGTATTGTTGCTGCGATCCTAGACCCAGGTTATATAGGGGCTTGAATAAAATTACCAACCAGGACCCCCAGTGGCCCTTTAATAGAGCCCTTATGGTCCTTACTAGTGGGTATTCGAGGCTATAATAGAGGGTAGTTGGGGGGTCTAGGAAAGATTGCCTACTTCAGAATTATGCTATAAAAGGAGCCCACAACCTTATTCAAATCATTAAGGCCCCTACATTGCCTATGTGTTGGGCGTTTGGACCTTTATTGAAGCCCTGGCGCGCCCAAAGCAACCTTGAACGTGTCAGGCAGGCACCAACCCGTGGCTACAGGTAGAGCTCGTGGACGAAACTTGGCTTCCCGATTTTTAATCGCGTTACTACAAAGATCTACAAAGCTTATATGGTTGATATATGGGTTAGTGTCTGATATCAATCTGGTCCCCAGCGTAGCCGATGCATCTCTGTTCAAACAGGAATGATGCTAGACTACTGGGTGCATTTTCCATTCGCAGGTTCCTTGCTTGGTCTAGATAAGCCCTAAACCCTAAACCCTAAACCCTACAGGGTTTAGGGTTTCGGGGTTCGGGCCTGCATTGAAGGGTTCAGTGTTACACGGTTCTTTCCCCGGCAAGTCTGAGAGCAACGGATCTGGGAACCCTACCTAAACCCTATACCCTAAACCCTATACCCTAAACCCTACAAACCTAAACCTATAATCTATACCCTAAACCCTATACCCTAAACCCAAACCCTATACCCCAACCCTATAAAGTTTAGGGCTTGGGGCGTTTTTTTGCTGCTGGAGCCAGCATCTCTCGGGTCTTTTGCGGCTTTCCACCGGATAGATTGGGCCCAGAGCGCAGTTCGAGGTTTGGTGTCTAGGGTTTAGGGTTTAGGGTTTAGTATGTTCCGCAGACTTCGAACTCGTTAGGAACATATAGGGTTTAGAGGTAAAGGTTGAGGTATAGGGTTTAGGGTTTAGGGTAGAGGCTTTAGGGTGTAGGGTTTAAGGGATCTGAACGCCTCAGCATGAACTTCGTTGTCTTCTGCACTTTCGCCGACTTCGGGGTTGGATCATGGCTGTCCGCTCCGGCTATAGTATACCGTAACCTACCAAAACCTACATTTTTTGCAGGGTCCCTATAAATTCCATATTGGGGTTTCTAATAAGAAACTACACAAAAGTAGGTTTTGGTAGGTTAAGGCGGTAGGGCTCTGAAGTCTTAGCTCTTTAGTCCTTTTCCTCCCGAATCATCGCAAGATGACCGTTCCCAAGACACCTCTAGCCCGAACCCGGTAAACCTTAAACCCTATATTAGGGCTCTGAACTCTTGTCCCTTCTGTCGTTTTCGTTCCGAATCAGTGCAAGATGACCATTCCCGAGAACCCATAGCCCGAAAGCCCGAACCTAAACCCTAAACCCTAAAAATCCCCAAAGCCCGACCCTAAACCCTAAACCCTAAACCCTAAACCATTGTGGGTGGTGAAGATGGAGGGCTACTGTAGACATCCCCTCGCAGCCACGCAAGGAGGGCAACGTGGGAAAGGTCACAATTACGCCAAACCAAGGCCGGGTTAGGGCTTTAGGGATTTTTAGGGTTTAGGGTTTAGGGTTTAGGGTCGGGCTTTGGGGATTTTTAGGGTTTAGGGTTTAGGTTGCTGTACGTGTGGTGACTAAAGTTGCCCCAGAAGCTAAACCCCCAACCAAAAATCCTAAACCCTGAACCCCGAACCCATCCTTGAACCTTAAACCCCTCAACCGTATAAGTCCTAATCTGTCGCTAGAATGGCTTGGGGTGGTGGTTTAGGGTTTAGGGTTTAGGGTTTAGGATATGATTCTCAACTAGGCGCAGTTTTGATGATTCTATGCTACTCTATCCGAAGACGCCATGTACCCATATTATACCTTAGGCCTGAAAGGGGTTCCTACACTCGTACTTTCAGGCCTAAGTACATACTATGCAGGTACATGGAGCCATTCAGATATCGCTAAATCTTCATGGTACCTCGAAGGAACCCTATAAGGAACCCTATATAATAGCCACAACCCGTCTAAGCCCTAAACCTTAGGGTGAGGGCTTTTTCGGTAGGAACACTGCTGTGGGATGTTAGGGCTTTGGGGCTGGAGCTTGGGTTTAGGGCTTTTCCCAAACGCTCCATGTACTTCGATAGTAGATACTTAGATACTTAGGCCTTTTAAGGGGT